AGCGTATCAACCGAGCCACACAGCTCGGTGTGCAGTGAAAGTTCTGCTTGGGTGTTGCCATGTGTTGCATATGTTACCATCACGCTATGGAGTGCTAGTCTTGGGCTGTGTTGTACAAGAAGGCCAGAAATGGTTTTGCTCCAAAGGCAAATGCAAGTGCATTGTGCTGAACACTCACCAAAGACAGATTGTGCTGTTGGTGTCAACTGGTGGCTCCTGTGTCAGCAGATATTTCCTTCAGGGCAGACCAGCTGGCTATAAAAATCAATGCAGTAAGGAGTTACTGGGTTTTATTCTCCTTCCCTCTTTTCCAGTGATGCCATCTGCAGTTTTGTCATCTGCAATGACTCCTCCCTCCGCAGCCAGCCCATCATCTTCAACCCTGACTTCTTTGTGGAAAAGCTGCGCCATGAAAAGCCAGAGGTGTTCACAGAGCTTGTTGTCAGCAACATTACCAGGCTCATTGACTTGCCTGGGGCAGAGCTGGCCCAGCTAATGGGAGAGGAAGACCCAAAGCTGCCTGGGGCAAACAGCACAGCCTCTGGATTTTTTCGTTCTCTGATGTCTCTGAAGCGCAAGGGTGAGTATGGCGTGATGTCTGGTGCCCACATTTAGGGTGATGCTGGCTGTCATCATCTGTTACACATAGTTTACAAAACTTCCAATGTAGGGCTGTTGTTTTAATTCTAGACATGGTAAAGGTAGCTTACCTAACTTCTGGTAAGGCTAACTATCTGTTAACACATACCACTTAGCAGAGCAGTGTCTCAGACACATCCCTTTTCTCATGCCACGTAAGAAATGGAAAAAGCAGGCATCAGTAGAGAATGCCTGCTTCAGGACAGCCTAGTGTTGATGTTGAATGCTTAATACTATAGGGGTTTAAACTCTGGGGATGGCACCTCTAGAAAGGAGCAAAACGCCAGGAGGTTCACCTTGGAAATGTCCTGCCGCTTCTAGAGTACCCTCCTTCTGGGGAGTATTGCTGTGGTTTCTAGAGGTTGGCCTCAATGGTGTGCTCAGTGCAGCGCATTCCACTGAGGTACGGCTTTGGTCCCTGAGTGTTTCTCGTCTGGCTCTGTGGATAGCACTGAGCTGGAGAGGGGTGCCTGAGCAAGCTGCAGAGTCTTCCAACACACACTAATGTGTCCTTGTCTCTCTGCTTGTTTGTGTCCATGGGAATCTGTGCTCTGTTTTCCTTAGATCATTAGCTTTCCTAGTGATGGAATATCAGTAAAGGCATTGGGTTCTATGAAGAACAGTAATGCCCCAGTTTTCCAGGCCACTGCGTTCACTCAAGGCCCACTGTTTCCTTCAGTTGCTGTCCCAGCTCTCTGGAAGGTCTTGTCTGAGCAGCTCAGAAATCTGTAAGCATCTCCCACCCAAATGCCAGTGTCACTCTGATCCACATCCCAATCCAGTGAGTCAGAGACAGAGCTCTGCAGATTGATGCTGTTCAAGCCCATATTCAACCCTGAGAGATGACATACTTGTCTTTCACTCTGAAACAAAATTCAGCTGGAGTTTTCTTCTGCTAAACTGACTATTCTTATCTTCTCTTTCAAGTTCAGGTCTCTTGGTTATGAAACATTAGCCCCAGGCTGCTTCTTAGAAGTCTGAGATTTGCTTTTGAGCACAGTTGTGTTCAGATCTTCTTCTCTTCAATGGCTGGCATTTACCACTGTTTTGCTGTAACTAAAAGGCTGTTATAGGTGTCTGTGTGCCTTCTCCCACCTCTGCCCACACTCAAGAGGAGCCTGGTTCTCCTGCTAAGTTCAGTTAAACCCTCTCACTCATCTAGGCAGAGACTGCCTCCATCTGGGCACCTCTCACATCCCTCATCAGCTCTGGTTTCTAGCTAGACTGGCTGTCTGCTGGCAGAGAAGCCGTGGGTAGCTGCCTTCAGATGTTGGCAGCCTGAGGTTGAACACTTCTAGTTAGTCTTCCCCTTCCTTTGAGCAATTCTGCTGTTGTGAATACCTCTGAGAAGGGAGCTATCACTATGTCCTAGTATGGCTTTTTCTTTTTTTTTTCTTCAACCTTTATATAGTTTCTCTGAGTGTTTCTCATTCTACCAAACCTACTCTTCCACTGTGTTTTGTAAGGACAAGCTCTGCAGCCCCACTGCTCAGGCTGAATTTTCTGGTGGTCGCTTCAGCCCCCCCACTCCTGGCCCAACCAGTGGGAACCTGGTAGATACACTCACCCTGGGCTGGACAGTACTGCAGGGGAAAATCCAGAACACCAAATGAAGTCCTTTAGGTGAGAATTATTCAATATTGCCATCTTGCCTTGCTGCTCCATGATAACAGGTCTTCATAGTGCCCCCAAACTGAAGATAGACCGTGCCTGTACCTGTTAGTGCTCCTGCCTCTGTTCCCAGAGAGTAGCAGGACACTTTTCACTTGACAAACAGAAGTGAAGGAGTAACCAAGTTGAAAGTGTTTTCCTGGTGTCTATAGAAACTTCCATGTGTTTGTCAAAACCTTCTAGGAGAGGCTTGGGAGCCTTCTTTAGCTCGTGTTTTTAAATTATCTGTACTCTGGTGGAGCAGTGCTCTTAGCAGACCTGACATCTCCTACTAACTCTCTTCCCCAAGAGCTCCGCCTTTCCCCATTCAGCCGCCTCCATGGCCATGTGTCTGGGTACAGCTAGGGCGAGCAGATGTTTCCAAGTCTGCTGGCTGCACTCCCAGGCTGCAATGGCAGTGTCTCCCTGCATTGACAGGCACTGTCTGTGAACTCCTTGGCTGAACTCTGAGAAAAAGAAGTTTGTGCCTGCAGAGAAAATCAGTTTCATGTACTGTGTGTTTCATCTTGGAGCCATCATTTGTTTTTCTTTGTGTTAGAGACCAGCTAGAACAAACAGGTTTTATTTCTTCAAAGCCAGAGGCCGAGGACCATAGAGCTCAGAACTGATCAAACTGCAAATACTTACAACTTCTTAGAGCATCAGGAAACTCAACCTCATGCTGTTTCTTAGTTTCAGAAGCAATCATGCAATAACATCTAAGCCTTCCATAACTCAACATCTATTCTCCAGACACAGCTTTCAAGTTACTTTCAGAATCTAATTCTCATTCAGATATCAACTTCTGACTTCAAAAGTAAATATAATTTGCCAGGCCCTGCATGTCTCAAGAAGATGTATTTTCGTCTTCTCTTCCTGGCCACTATTGATTCTATCTGTTGAATGTCTAATGACTTCAGTTTTCTTCAAGGACAAGAATCTTTCGCCAGCCATTCTCTCCCTTCACACTCAAGCCTTTCAGATCCTACATGTGGATCAAGAGTTCATATCACCCTCCTTTCTCCTGCAAGACTGAAGCACGGATGTTATCAGAGGGAGGTCAGAAAGTTCTTGATTTAACAGAAGGCTAGAGTTCCTGGTGGCTTACTGTGTATCTCAGAAGTCGTGGAAGAAAGTGGAACATTCTTCAGGTGGAATAAATTTAGTTGCACAGGAAGGCTGCTAGAGAAGTGCACAGGGTTAACCAGTTCTTTCCCACGTGCTGTGGGCATCAACGCCACAGAACATTAACGTCTGTAGTACAACAGACCAAAAGCTAGTAAAATCAAAATGTGCTGTTGAGGGTGGGGGGGAGGGAAAGCTAAGAGAAAGCTTGTGGAGGAGATAACTTTTATCAGACCAGCCAATGCACTGTTTGGATTGATAGGCTATCAGTTGTAACAGAAGCGAAATCTTCAGCCACAGAAAACTGGGGTGCAGATGCCCAACTTGCCCTCAGAAGTGGCCCATGCTCCTGTCAGTCTCGTCATGGAGAAAGGAGAAATATTCTTTTCTTAAGTCTGTTGGCTCTTTGAAGCCTTAATGCAAGGGCAGGACAAAGCAGCTCTGTGCCTGGTTCCAGTTTTCAGTCCCAGTCATCATGTTGTGGTATCATCTGTCCAGCATCTTGTATCTAGCTGCAGTCAAAATCTGCATGCATTTGAGGGAAGAACAGGTGCTCAGGGCTCTGGCTGCTGCCAGTGAAGCCCTTGGGTGTTGCCTCAGTGTTCTGAGGGACAGAGCATGCTGGCTGTGTGTATCTGATAGAAAAAGCCTTTCACCAGCAAGACTGCATTTATTAGAAAATACTGTCCTGCTGCATAACCACTGTCTTACCTAGGAAGTCCCTATCTGGACAGGAGCGTTTTCTGCATTGGTTCAATGAGTGCCCTTTAATTAGATGGGCGTCTCATCTAACATTTCCTCCGATGCAAGCATCTCCTTCCTTTCAGCTCAGTTGCTTCTATCTTCTTTTGGGGCTGTACCCTCTGTTATTTGCTAGACTTCTGGATCTGGCAGCTCCTGCCCCTCTGTAACAGCCACATGAGATGAAAGCAAACTCCAGGAGTGAAAGGACCTGTCAGTGTTTCATATGGAGAAGGACCCAGCTCATTGTTATGCTACTGTCCTTCTTTTTTATAATTCTTCCTTGTTCAGCCTTTGTATTTTACTGTACTCAGGCCAGGGCAGCTCACATGGAAGAAAGATTCACTGGGATCAGGGAATTCCAGGGATTACCCGTCCCCAAAAAGGAGGCCAGTGTAAGCCAGTCGGATCATGTTTGCTTTCCCCAGTCGTGCTTGTTTCTCTCCCACAGACTCATAGCTGCACCTCTTCTTTCTGCTTCACTCCATGTCAAGCCAGCGAGGATTAATCTGGACTTAACTTCCCAGGTACAGAGTCTGCCAATGCAGCAGGCACCCAGGCAGTCCAGGCTGTCACATCTGCCCTTCCCACTTTGGTCTTTCCATAAGTTCAGGCTTGCAGATGATATGCCCTTTAAAACTGAAGCATCTGTTCTGGTGTTGTTTTCTTTTCAGGAGCTATAGAATGTTTGCTTTAGCTGATAAAAAACTGTAATTAAGCTGAGGTAAGAAGCACAATGATGAAGTCCTTCTAAGTACAGCATGGTGAGATGAAATGACTTATTTTGGAGTGCTTGTGATACCTCACATCTGTGGGAGTCCTTGTGACCTTCACCCTTAGCGTTTTGGGCACTGGTCTTTGCATGCTAAGATACTGTTCTTTGGGGACCACTCACCTCTGTGGCTGTTGGGTTCTGAGTTGCCTGAATACATTCGTTATTGTCTGTTCTGCAGAGAAAGGGGTGGTGTTTGGCTCACCGCTGACAGAAGAAGGCATTGCCCAGGTTTCCCAACTAATTGAGTATCTGCACAAAAGTAAGTGACTCTGTCTTGCTGTCTTCCTATCCCGAGGGGTATCTGTCCTGTCCACCTCAGGTCTCATGCAGAGACAGTAAAAAGCTCTGAGATCTCCAGCAGCAGGAGTCTGGGGCTCTGTTCCCCAGAGTTGCCTAGCAGATATGTTTATCTGTTCCCTCTGTGCAGGGACTTTTTCTACTGATGGAGCCAGCTTGAAGTCATGTCTCTCAATGCAGTTCATTGAGATTTGCTGTCAAGCTCTGGAAAGGGGAGGGAACTGCTTTGGTAAGAAGATAGGAATCAGCCTCTTGTTAATCAGTGGCCTGTTTTCTCCTCTCTGCCAAGCAGATCTAAGAGCAGAAGGCTTGTTTCGGGTGCCAGGCAACAGCATCAGGCAACAGATCCTAAAGGATGCTCTGAACAGCGGTACAGATATTGACCTGGATTCTGGGGAATTTCATTCAAATGATGTGGCCACCTTGCTCAAGATGTTCCTGGGTGAATTACCAGAGCCACTGCTCACACACAAGCACTTCCATGCCCACCTCAAAATTGCAGGTGAGTGATCAACAAGAGGCAGACATGAGCAGAGGGAATGAAACTATCCTTCTCAAAAGCTGGTAGTGCTACAGAGCTGCACACTAGGTTGTGGAAGTGTAATCCTTGAAGGCAGAGTAAGAATGAATCTTCCTACCGTCTCAGACTAATGGTGGAAAGACTGGAGGAGAAAATCCTAAGGAATAAGACAGATTGTCTACCCCAGTCTTTCCAGCAGTAAACAGATACTTACAGGACTCGAGACCACATTGGTAACCTGGGTCTCCATCTTTTTTAAGCCTGGGGTGTCTCCTGAGCAAGATGTGGCTTCTGTGTACTTAATAGCTACTACTGAACTACCTTATGTGAACTTCTCCATCTTGCCTTCAGCCCATCACAACTCTTAGCAATTGTGTTGTCCTCTGGAAGGAGTACCACATATTAACACATCAGCTTGGGAGCTGGGGGGAGAGAGCTGTGTGGGAGTTTGGAGATGTAAATATGAAGAGGGAAGGGTAACCACTGCAATAGGCCTGCTGTTAGGGAATGTAACGTGTGTCCTTCATGTTCTGCCTTGTGATTTGGCAGACCTGACGCTGTTTGATGAGAAGGGCAATAAGACCAGCACTCCAGACAAAGAGCGCCAAATTGAAGCCCTCCAGCTGCTCTTTCTGATCCTTCCCGCACCCAATCGCAGTCTGCTCAAACTGCTGCTGGACTTGCTCTACCAGACTGCCAAGAAGCAGGACAAGAACAAGATGTCTGCCCACAATCTTGCCCTCATGTTTGCACCCCACATCCTCTGGCCCAGAAATGTGAGCAGTGCCACAGTATCTGCGGGTGGGATGTTGCAAGATAGAAGGAAGAGGGGAAGAACCAAGATGGGAAGATGAAGTACTGATATAGTGATATGAGGGTTGGAGGGTGGGATGGTGAGGTGGAGCTTCCTGGCAGGGCTCAGTACTAGTGTTCAGTTCTAACCTGCTGTAGGTTTGATTTGCAACTGATGCTTCATCTTTTTCAGTACAACTGAAAGCACAGCACAGTCCTGCTTCTTTTAAGAATAACTCCAGAGAAACCTTGCAGATCTCTTTTGTGCTGGTTGTGAACTGTTTGGCCCCCAGCAGTCTAGTTCTCTTCCTCTCAGAGCAGCTTTGGCTCTGTGAGCTCTGCTTGTTGGTATACTCTGAGCCCTGCCTGCCTGTCTCCTCAGAGCAGGTCTTCTGCTGAGGCACTGTGTGTCTATGTCCCAGAGACAGCAAGGGCAGCAGGGACTCTTCCTCCTCCCCTTTTAACTGCTGTTGCCTTTGGCTGTCTCCCCTTGCCAGGTGACAGCAAATGACCTTCAGGAGAATATCACAAAGCTAAACAATGGTGTGACCTTCATGATCAAACACTCTCAGAAGCTCTTCAAGGTAAAGTGTGCTTTGGGGTCTTTGTTTGAGACTGAATGCCCCTTGTCCAGACAGATCCCAAATGTCAAGTGTGTGTTCCAGGTGCTCTCTTCTGCAGTAGGAGAAGGTCTTCTACAGGAAACTATTCCTTTAGTGAGCAGGGAGGAGGTCTTTTCTGGGCAGGCAGCCCAGGAGGAGGAAGACATCGCAGGGGTGACTTTGCCTGGCAGGTCAGCAGCACGGTGCAGTGTAACACCACCCTCTGCTGGACACCCAGCACGTGCTGCCCGCCTGGGAAATGGGGCTCCTGGGGCCGTGGAGCCACAAGACTCCTCTTGGGATCTTCCAGGATAAGGAAACTGGAGGGGCCTCTCCTGGATGAGTGCTGCCAAGAGCTGAATGCCTTATACAGTGGGTCATTTTGTTGTGAACTTCTCTGACAGTGGTTGTCAACCCACTGCTGTAACAGGAACCCCTGCAGTCTTGGGCTCCTGTCTAGTTCAGAGCAGGGGGCTGTGGTAGGACAGTCAGGAGTGTGAGGCTTTCTGCAGGTTCCCCCTAGGAGGTGTTTCTGCAACAGGCAGTCTCTTGACTTCTCAGGACCTTCCTCATCACTGTAGGCAGCTGCTCTCTACAGAGTCCTCCATAGGAAGTTCCCCTTCTGCCCCCTTTCTCAGGCCCCTCTTTGGCCAGCTCAGAGCTGGGAGAATTGCTTGGAGAAAGTTCCTGTGGAACCCTGCTCTTACTCTGTGTTCCACTTGTGCTGGTTGCCTGCATCAAAGGGAACTGCACTGGGGACATGAAATCCCATTGCTTTGTCTGCCCTGAACAGCTGAGTCTTGATGGAAGTGGTTTGTGTGGTATGGTTGAAAGGCAGCTCTTGCTGGAGCCACACATACTGAACATACTTTGCTCATTGTCACAGGCCCCAGCATACATCCGGGAGTGTGCCAGGCTGCACTATCTGGGATCCAGAGCCCACACATCAAAGGTAAGGTCAGCAAATGCAGCGCCTGCTCTCCATGAAGGCAGAGGCTGTAGTACTATGAATGGATTCTTGTGAGTGAAAGAAGCTGAAAACAAACCAAGTCATGAGAGGATCTCGGAGAGCAGGAGCGAGGGAACCATATGGTGTGGTAGTGCAGGTGGCTGCATTAGGGAAATTGGTCAGAGTTGAAGCATCTGTTAATCAAAAGCACAGGGAAAGCAAGCTACCAGCCCCTGTTTAGCAGCAAACCTGCTCTCTGTGCCCAGTACATGCAGCACCTGCTCCTTCATGGGGTTGTGCCTTCCAAACAGGCAGAACTGCTGCAGTGGCCAGGCTGCTTGGAAGAGGGGCTGGGATAAAGGCTTCTTGCTGCCACCGGGACCAATTTGTCTCTGTCTTGCCAGTAAATGCTTCCCTGCCTCCTATAGTTGCAGAAAAGGGAAGATGCGTTGCAAGGAGCTGCACTGACCCTTCTCAAGCCTGGAAGGGCTTCTGCAGCTGGTATCTGTGAGGGGAGGGAAGAAGCAATGGGGTCACCTTTGCATTGCTGTCACCTCTTCCTGGCACAGGGCCTGCTGGTGCAGTGCTGCTGCAGAGGGGTAGGGAAAACACAGCCCTGTGCATTCACTGGGGTTGAGTCAGCTCATGAGACTCTTCCCAGCCTGGCTCAGATGGGTGGCTCATTTGGATTAAAGCATGGCAAGCAACTGCTGTCTCCGCTTTCCCAGGATGACCTGGATTTGCTGACATCTGGCTCGAAGGAGCTGCAGCCCCTCAAGTCTCAGAAGCGAAGCCGACTGGACACTTGCCATCAGGAGGAGACCCAGCAGCGCACGGAGGAGGCACTGAAGGAGCTCTTCCGTCATGTCAACAATATGCCTGACTCTGCAAAGAAGAAGAAGCTTATCCGGCAGGTAGTGTGGGAACAAAAAATATCTTTGGGGTGTGCTTGTCAGCACAATTCTGGGCTGAAGGCAGGGCCTTCTTGAGAGCTACTCCTAATCCTAGGCAGGCTGAGGAGCTGGGCTTTGAGCTGTGTAAGGGGCAAAGCTGTAAGAAGGCAGGGGAGGAAGCTGCTTGTCCTGGATGTGGCTGACCATGGAGCTTGCTGCATCAAGTTGTGCTTTGAGCAATCTGTTTTCCAAGCCAGGGACTTTCCAGTCAGCAATTCCTCAGTCCTGATCATGGCCTTCTTCCCTCAAAAGGAAGAGTCTTGTCCCTTCTTGCCTGCAGGGAGTGGACAGACTGGTCTTCTCTCAGTCCCATGAGCATTTCCAACCAACCTGCTGCTCCCGAGAGACTGGTTGATATGGTCAGCATGGTCATGGTTGCCAGTCTCCAGATGCTGCCCAACCCCCTTTCTGCTCCAACACCTTCTTCTTTTGGCTAATCTGGTAGTGAGCACAAAGCAGCCTCACACTCAAACTCCCTGTAATCCTGGGTTGGAGATGTCACCTTCCTCTGCTTTATTCTCCCTGCAGCAGTGAACTGCTCCTCCCTTTTGTGGTGCTGAATAGGCAAACTGAGTTCTAGGCAGAGGGCAACAGGTAGAGCAGCACACAACAGCAAGGGGCTGGTGTAATTGTAAGAGTAACTGTGCTAACATACTCATGTTTCTTCCTAGTTTAATAAGCACCGTACAGCTCTGACTCCTGGCTCTGAGGTACCCACATCCCCAGCACCACGACGCACCCGCTCACGCTCCTTCAGCGGCCTCATTAAGGTAAAGGCATCCTCTGACCCATGCTCTCTGCTGTGAGTTTCTGATATTGCTCTCTGCTTCTGCCTTGCCCTTGCTTGAATGAGATTCTCAAAGGGTAGCGACTGTTCAGAATATTGGCTGCCAAGGAACACAGATCCACTGGGGACAGAAAAGGCAGCACAGTGACAATAAAACCTTGTTAGTATGAAGTGTAATTATATATAAAACACGTGGCTGTAGGATCTGTGCATCTTTTTGAAGGACTGATTGCTTCCCAAGATGAGATGAGGACTGACAGGGAGCTGGTCATGTAGTCTAGCATGTTAGTACACTGTAGGCTGCCCCACAGCAGCATGTACCTGCTTATCACAGGCTGGGCTCCTGGCCAGGTCTCAGGTCAGCTCCCAAACCCTTCACAATCAGGCTGGCTCAGCATAGTGGCACAGTGTTTCAGATGGTTCTACAGTCTTTGTCCCAGCTTGGCTTCCTTTTTTCTTTCCCAGCATCCAACTGCTTGCCAGCAATGCATCCTGTTCCTTCCCTTTCCTTTTCACTTTGCACTCTAATCACTAGACAACAGCCCTCTCTTCTTACGGCAGCGGAAAGTTCTGGGAACCCCAGTTATCCTGGAGAGAAAGAGCAGGGATACCACACCGGAGCCTGAGCGAATCAGCAAAGAGAATGTGCATCTGGTAAGAGCTGCTCCCAGCACTGCTGAAGCTGCTGGTGGGGAAGTGTGTGAGGGATGTTTGAGTTTAATTTCGGTGCTCATTTCAGTGATCCTTGGGGACCTGCATGCTCTCTCTGCACAAGAAAAGGTTTCCAAGTTTGTTCTGTATAATCTTGGGCTTGGGAAGCTGCTGTAAGAGCAGAGCAGATGGCAAGAACAGCATTGGGACAGGGGTGGCAGCACTAGGCCTCCACTTCAGTGTTGCCCCTCTGTCTGTGCTCCTGCCCTGGGGACCATGAGTGGATTTAAGCGATAGCTGCTCTCTGGTGGTACAGGCTATGGCTGCCACTTCATTCCCCAGCTCTCTACTCCTGTTCCCTTCTCTTGTCCAGTTACAGAAATGTGGATCCCCTGCTCACATGTGTCAAGCGAAGCTGAAATCTTTGGAGGGCCGGAAAGAGGTGAGACACATTCCTTCCTGTGGGGAACCTGGCCTGCTGGGCTCTGATGCCTGCAGAGGTGATGGCAACACATAAGGCTCTATGACAGCTGCTGTTCCCTGGCTTGTAACAGTCTGCTCCACACCAAACTGCAGGCAATTGACATGCTGGAAGCCAGGCCTTAAAGGATTTCACCCAAGCAGGTGTGTACAGCCCTCCTACCTGTGAGGTAGCAGGGTGACTGTCACAGGAAGCAGAGGGAAGCTGGCAGCACAGCATTGTCCTAATATACTGTCAGTATAGCAGCAGGATAAGAGGTTAGTGCAGCCCAAGACCGACTGCTCTATTTGTCCCTTCGTGTTCACTGCTTCTTGTCTAGCGTTCTGCTTTGGTAAAAGGTGTGGGACAGACTTCAGGGGGGAAGCCTTGCAGGGAGAGGACAGCATGTCAACCTTTTCTTGTGTGGTATTGTGTGTCTCAAGCATTCCATTGCTCTAATTCTCTGCTCCAGGAATCCTGCAGACGCATGCGAACCCGCCTGCTTTCCAAGGATTCATCATCCCTCTGACTCGCCTCGCACCAAGGCACGGGTGGGGAATGCCCAGCCTTGCAAGCTGTGAATCATGTGCTGCACGGAGAGGGGAGTGCTGCAGGCTCACGGCAACCCTCCCCAGCATGGCAGCGCTCTTGAAACTGGACCTTTGCAAGGACTGCAGGGACTTGTTTCTTTGTGTATATAAATTGTATTTCATCCTACTATGGGGCAAACCACTATCTAACCAAAACTTGTGCAGCATGTCTGACCTGCTGGCTCTGGGAAGAGCAGGAGTGCTTGCTTACAAGGAGAGCTCTCCGCATTGAGGGGCCCTGTATGCACTCCCAGCTTTCTCTGCAATGTTGCTAGGCTGTGTTTTTCTTGCTTTTCTGCTCTGAGTTTTTAACACGTTGGCTTGTTTTTGCTTCCCCCCTGAGTCTGTTAGCACTGAGAACGATGGACTCCAACCTTCATCTGCATCCTGACAGCTAATCTTACCTCCAGGACTCCTCTGGGGCCATGCCCTCCTCTGCTCCCTGTAAGCTCTCTCTGCCCTGCTGTCCCTGAAGGGCTGGAGTGCACAAACGGTACACAGCACAGGATGGGCATGGGAGGAGAGGCTCTGAAAGCTGCCATTTCAACTGGAGCCAGGGGAAAGTGGCTTCCCCAATAAACTTATCCCTCTGATTCAGCTTGAGCTGGAGGCAGCCCTTGCTTACTGCCTGCATGTTTCCATGGCACAGCTCTGCCTGATGAGCAAGGACTGTCTGCTTTGGCATGCTGGAGTGTTGGCTCAGGGAGGCTAAGCTGAGTGGGGCTGGCAAGGAGGCTGGCAAAGGCTGTCTGGGGCAGAACAGCTCAGCCTCTGGAAGCTGGGGTGTCTGGGGCAGACAGTCTTGTGCTGTGTCCAGCACAGGAGCAGCATGAGAGGCAGGGCAGGGCTCCAGCCATTTGTGATCTGCTGCAAATGGTGCCAAAGACTTTGGCTTAAGATATCGGGATGGCTGGTCAGGCAACTAGTTGATTAGTTAGTCATTAAACTGGGGGAAAGGGCTGGGTCTGGATTCAGCTCTTTGGACTGAGCTGCAGAAATGAGATGAAACCATCTAGATATGGGATAAACCCTCATCACAGCTGGCTAGTATCAGTGGTCTTGTTAAGCTGAAGTGCTCCAATAAGCCAATCGTGCCAAGTACCTGTCTGCAAGCACTCTTGGGTAGGAAACACAGTGGGTCACTACTGTGAAATAAAGATTTAATCAGCTGGGGAACCATCTAAACACTTCTCAGCCCTTCTCGGTGAAGCAAATAATCTCTGGAATCCAATTATAATTGTCTTCTAATCTTTAAGAACCAGCAGCTGGCAGGAGTTAGAGCTCTGTCCTTGACAGCTTTCAGAGACAACTGGTGGCAGGAGGTGTGAATATTGGAATGTGAGCAGGGAGTTCAGTCCAACAGGCTAGAGCTGTCAAAAGAGGCCATTAGAGCCCTGTGCAGCTTAGCTGGAATTTGTCACTTTTACCATGATTTTTGTTTTTCTGAGATACAAAGCATATTCCTCATGCTGCTCGGTCCAAAGGGATGCTCCTGGTACTTTATATGGGGTGCCTGTCCCCAGTCTGACCCCAGATTGGAGGAGCTGCCTTGAAAATGTAGGGGTAGTGGGACTGCAGATGTGTGAGATGGGAGCTGCTGGTGTTAGGATCCTCTGTGGCAGCAGAGAGTGAGCTGGTTCTTCAGGGACTGGGCAGGCAAGGATGCTGTGAGAAAGGGCAGAGGCTTTTTACTGTGGTAGTAGTATGTGCTTTTTGGATGTGTCTGTAATCATTCCCTCAGGAGGCTAAAGCTGTCTATGTGCTCTTCAAAGGGCACCATGGTGTGTTGCTGACTGCTTCTGCACTTCTACCCTGCCCCTGCAATCCATTATTGGTGGAGACCTGGGGATCTTGGCTTTGCCTTTGAACAAAGATGAGACAGAGCCAAAGGCTGAGCAGCAGCACAGGGGGAGTGGGTCTGGTCCTGCCACCTCTGCTCTTACTTTCATCAGGGGTGGTTGCTGGGTGAAGCATTGGTTCATCCTAGCCCTTCTCTCTCCATCGCCCCTAGCTTACTTGAGCATATATCTCTGTATGGGTGTCTGCTTGCAAGACAGTCTTGCTGTTAAGACTAAATACACTGCTCTATATCGACGAGAGGAACATCACTCTTCTATCCCCGTACTGGCTCTAGCTCAGGGACTCCGTCTGGCTTCTGGCACAGCTGAAATTTGCTTAGCTCTAAGAAAAATGATCTATGGGGCATCAGCCTGGCATTCTGCATGTCTCAGATGCCTCTCCTGCCAAAGGGGTGCATGCGTTGTCCACACAGCAGTCCCAGGAGGGGTTTGGTGCCCTGGGCTTAAGCCCATGGTGCTGTTCTCCCGATGCTGAGGGCGGTGGTGGCTAACAGATTTGGCCTCTAGGACCCTTGGCTGTTGCAGTTCCAATGTGCTCACACTGTCTCACAGGCACACCGGAGTTTTAGTCATGCCTGAATGTGTCTCATTTGTCTGCCGTGTGCAGTGACTTACAAAGATGCTTCCTCCCAGAGCAGCCACTAACTGTTCCCAGAGTCTATTGTTTCCAAAGCATTTTTAATCTTTGTCCTTATTTATATATGTTATGTATGTACTGTTTCAGACTGCTGCCTTTCTGTGTGTTCATGTGAAAACCCCATATTAAATGCTTTTATTTTTAGTGGGTTTGTTCCATGGCTTAAGCAGTTTCATTGGGACAGCAAGGACTTGGTGGTACATCCACCTTCAGAAGGAAGGAAATGTCTGCTTAGAACCTCAGAGCTGCTACCTTTAGGTGCAGGGGAGCTTGGTGAGGTGCTGCCCCCACCTGCAGGGGTGGCAGTGGCCTCCATGGCACTAGAGCTTGTTCCGTCTCTGAGACCCTAGCATGATGCAGGGTGCCCAGACAGGCTGTCTTTCCCCCGGAGGTATGAAGTTGGACCTCTCCTTTTCCTGTCTTCCCCTGCTGTCATCTAGGGTGATGGGAAATCAGATGTACAAAGAACGCTTTATATAAATAATGGATCAAATGAATGCATCTTTCTCTGTAGAACTATTCTTCTCTTGCCCCTCTTGGCTGCTGAGGGAGGATGATTTCTGCTTGCATTTTCTCCTTCTTAATAATGGCGTATCAGATTTTATGCAGATTATTTCTCTGTGAAGTTCTTCCACGTTTGAAATGCCCTGGGCTTGCCTGCCATGGTTGAGACACTCATTAACATCCTCTCCGTGCAATTGAAAAACAAGCAGGAGAAGCAAGCAGCACAATACGTTTGAAACCAGCACTGCCTTCCTGCAGGGTGAGCTTCACATGGGCCCTGTTCTCCTCTAGGGCTGCAGTTAGATGTCATGGGACCACTGCATCCCATCTCCCAGACCTTGGGGAGCAGGAGGGGATGTGCCTCTGTGCACTTGAAAGTGGGCATGGAGTCTAGAGAGACATTCTGTTCTTGAAGATGTTGAACAAAGGAATGCAAAAACTCACAATAGCTATTTTGAATACTGCAAACCCAAATATCACCTCCCTGATAAGCTGTGAATCAATGCGACAGCTTTATGTGGCTTACATAATTTAAAAAATTAATAGTTTTCAAACCCTGGAGCCACAACCCAAGCACTTACGCTTGGCTGCAAGTGAAAGGACAGCAGTCACTGGGACCAAACACTGGGTGAAGGTATTTGGAGTGAGATCGCTCAGCTTTCAGTGTTTGCTTTGGCCTGCTACTATTCCTGCACAGCAGTGGCATCACAAAGCAAATAAGCAGTGCTCCTCCCTCATTTCATTAAACAGTTTTTATCTCAAATTGCACAGCACAGGCTTGCAAATAAGTTCTGCAGAGTGTCACTGCTCTCTACATCAATTTTTGCAAGTTGTCTTGATTTTTTTTTAACTGTTCTGCTCTGGTTCGGAGTTGAAATAAGATGTGTTTTCTCTCTTGAATTATCATGTGTGGCTGGGAGCTGTCATGCTGCTGCTGCATCTCACTGCCTAGGGCAACAGTGTAGACAAGAAGCATGAGTGCTGCTAGCGATAGATGTTGGCATCAGCCAGGCCCCAGTTATCAGGCTTTACAATCTCATTGGCTTGGATTAACTAATATTTTTTCATGGAGTGAATAAATTACCATGTTTAGTTCTGTTTGCTCATCCCCCCACGAAGGGTTTTGTGCTGAAGCTCATCAATTGTGCAGGCACATAGATGCCAGCATCTCTGTGCTGGGTCCTGCACTGACCTTCCTCCTCTGCTGTGGAGCAGGGTGGGATCTCCGCTGGTGCCAGGTCTCCAGCCCAGCTTTGTTCCTGGGAAATGCCCATGCAGAAGGAATGTGGTGAGATTGCTTCTGGGCTCCTGTGTCTTGATGCAAGGAGAAGCTGTCCCCAGCCATACATCATGGGGTGAGATTCAGATATGTCCCAGCATCGGCCTTCAAGGTGCTGAGTTCAGTCTGGGTTGGGGGGAACAGCTTTCCTTTCCTTGCTGAGTCCCAGCTGGAGTAGGCATTACTGCTCATCCTTCCCCAGTCCCACCTCTCCTGGATTAAACAAGGCTCCTCTCCCAGGCTAAACTAGGCTCCCCTGCCTTGCTGCTGGGATTTACAAACCCACCACACAGCCCTCCTTTGGGGTGCCTTACACGACATTTTAAACCTGGCTTCTTTTGCACCAGAGAGGAGAACTGGGTCCCACTTTACTTCTGGCTGAAGCTGCTGGGGTTGAAAATTGGGATGAAGAGAGGTCCAAACCTGCCTTGGCCATCATGGCTGTGTGTAACTGGGTGCATGCACAGGTCTATGATATGGGAGGGAGGGTGTGTGCGTTGGCCTGAGGTTGTTTTGGGGTTTGTTTCTTCCAACGTTTTTGCTTACAAAACCTGAGCCTTGCTCCCCTGGGGAGCCAGGATGTCAGCGACCTCTTGCACAAGAGCCTCTGGCTCCATTGTGCCTCGCCAAGGCCGTTCTGCAGCAGCAGCGCAAGAGGGGGCTGGCAGCACACACTGCGGGATGGGACCACCTACCCGCCCTGCAGCACCCGGGGGCCCTCGGGCCAGATGTGCCTGGAGGGTGCCTGGTTCTTCCTCCCTGGCTGCACCTGGGGGATGAAGCGGGGTAGGAAGCTGGGTCTATAAATAGAGTGAACAAGAGCATAGAGCACAGAGAAGGCGAGGGAAGAGGCTGTGGGGGGATGCCCTCCTACAACTGACAAGTATCAACTCTGCAGGTAGCCCCTCACATGTTCCTCCAGCTCTAGTGAGAGTCTCTGCGCACATCTGGGGCTGTGCAGAGCTGTCATAAGGCAAGCTAAACCCTTTCCTTTTCTTCAA